AACAAGCGATGTTCAAAAAAGAGCAAAGTGATAATAGTAAGAGGAAAACAAAAACAAAAACAAATTATAAAGCAAGCCCCGAAAGGTGAGGTACAAAGTGTGAACCATGAGGCAATGCGCTACACTCCAAAACAACATTTTTAAAATTTATACAGACAGAAATCCAGGGAATACGTGTGGGAATGGATATTAACGGTCTGGGATAATGGTGAAAGGAACATAAAGTTAGATCAAGTTGAATTTATGAATTTATTGATACGGGTCTATTAAGCAGATTCAGGATTCAGTGTTTTAGCTCAAGGGGTTAGGAAGAGCTCTAACAGTTTGGTTGGCTGGCTGAAACATGGACCAAAATATGGCCTACACTAAATGAAGTTGAAATGCCAGAACTGCCTTCGTATACAATAGAGGAAGATAACCAAAGGCTTAGGGAGATTGGAATATTAGAGTGGATTTATCATGTTAAGACCTGCCCATCCACCCTTGGAGTGTCCAGATAACACACTTTTCACCATGACTGTCAGGAATAAATCTGTGAGGGGCGCTCTAGCATCTTTGAAAAGCTCTGTGATCAATCCTCTCTGGAGGTCAGATATTACCGTGGGAACTGCTGCCACCAAATTGGGAAACCTAAATGCAATGGAGATAATTGGATTCCAAGGTGGCAGGGGCCAAGCAGCAGCACGTAAGCACCAAAGACAAGGTGGGCATAGTTATTTTAACAGGGAGAAAAGTCAAAATAGTAATCAGAATAGTCTGACTTGCAGACACCTATGGTGTTGGCTAGCTGGTCATGGTGTCCCATGAAACAGATGGGAAGTACACTAAACATTTATTTGATCTGAATAAGCAGAAGAGTTCTACATCAAGTGAACAGTGAATCATCAAAACAGAAAATCATGACCCCTCAATCAATTCTCAGACTTGAGCCAGTTTACAAACCCATAATCTCTTGAATGAAGGGGAGGCCAGGACCCCTTGAGAAAAGACTCCACTACACTGCCAAAAATTTACACTGTTAATCTTTCTCCCAGCCTTCCCCTAAAGGATCTATGGCCTTCTACCAGGGTAACTGTTCAGTGAGGAAAATGAAATAATCACATTTTTTGGGGATTACTAGACACTGGCTCTCAACAGATACTAATCCCAGGAGATTCAAAACATCACTGTGGTCCACCAGTCAGACTAGGGGCGTATGGAGGTCAAGTTATTAATGGAGTTCCAGCTCATGTCCATCTCACAGTGGGTTCAGTGGATCCCTGAACCCATCCTGTGGTGATTTCCTGTTAGTAAAGACCACTAGAAGCATTTTTCAGCTGGCAAGACCAGTAATATACCTTCACTGTCCTATCTCAGGGGTATATCAACTCTCCAGCCCTATGTCATAATTTAGTCTGCAGGGACCTTGACTG